AAGGAAAATTTATTTTTCATTAGATTAATGTGTAAATATCATGCTATACACATTACGACACAAATAATATAATAAATCAATTTTCATTGTGTGAATTTCTGTTTTTTTCTAATTTAATTTTTCTTCTTTCTATTGCAAACATTTAATATTTGTTGAATGTTTTTTTTCTTCTTTTTTGTACAAGAAGAAGAATGCAAACCTGATCAAAACTTTGTTTTTCATTGCAGCACAACGATATATTCTTTTAAGTTTTATTTAAATTTCCGATATTACAAAAATTTTAAATTTTCTAATAAAAAAAATAAAAAAAAAAAAACAAACAAACGAGTCTAACTTACAATACTAAAAGGAACAAGAACGAAGACCAATTTGTGACATACGATTTTTATATCACGTGAGAGAGCCTGCTGCAACCCGCGGACACATATTTTAAGATAGAGTTTTTTTTTATTTATTTATTTGATCTATACAAAAATAATTGAGAAAAAAAAAAGAAAAGAAAAAACAAATCGATGCCACAATGTGCTTCGTATATTATATATATATATACATACATATATAGACATACAGGATGGTAAAAACAATAAAGAAAGGTCCCATATTTTAACCATTTAATTATCATTGTATTTATTTTATGGAGAAGTAAAAAAAAGAAAATGTTTAATTAATATTTTGTGATAATTTTCAACGTGTAAATTAATTTGTATTATTTATAAATGATTAGATATCACACGTTAAGTTATAAATAATCCATTAACAACATATTATATATGTATGCAGAATAATTTGTTTAGAAAATATTTCACGTACATACAAAAATTATGATTAGAAATTTATTTACAAAGAAAAAGGGGTTGATTTATAAAATATTAATTGGACATATATAATATATTTTCTACACACACTTGTTTCAGTGAATATTATTATACTTTATATATTATATATATTATGATTATTGAATATTATTAAATTAAATATCAAGTCATATTTTTTTACCATCTTGTATAGACATATAGATATAGGTATACAAGCATATATATATATATATATTGAGGAAAAATGAAAAATATAGTTATAATAGTAATCGGCAGTGTCCAGATACAAGTACTCAAGATACGTTATTCAGCGAAGCAATTTATTTTCCATCTCTCTCTCTCTCTTTTTCTCTTTTTCTTTCCTTCTGTGTCTATAAAATATCCCGCTGTAAGTTTTTTTTACCAAACAGTAAGAGTACCGCTATGAAACACGAAGCATATCGGCGTCTGGTGCATTTCTAAGTTCTTACTTGAACTTAACAAGAGAAAGAGAAAGAGAGATAGAAAGAAAATCTGGCGTTATTTCTTAGGAGTAAAAAAAGAATATTTTTTGGAATACTCCATTATAGGCGTTTGAAACAACAACAAAAATCATAAATAATAAATGTAGAAAATAAATAAAAAAAAAAAAAATTACACGAGCATAACTACCACCACAGTGGATGGAACATTTTAATGGAAACATTTAATGAACAATTATTCTATTAACACACAATGGGCTTCTTGAAATATTATTATTATAATGTTATTTAAATTAATCTTGAAATTTGTATTCCAAAGTTTGAAGTTAACCCTTGAAAGGTATCATCAGAATAATATTGTTAATATTTCTGCATATACATTTAAAAAAAAAAAACAACAAAAAACAATAAGTAATAGCCATGAAATGAATATTAGAATTAAACAGTTAATTCGCCGCGTATCGTTGTTTAAATGAAAATTCAGCCAAATGATAATCTTCTCACAGGGTTTAATCATAATAATCGATGCTCGTTCGTAGTTGCTAAAAAAAAAAAAAAAAGAATAAGAAAAATAGTTTCCATTAGAAATGTTCTAACCAGTTTGATGTATCTTGCAACTGTATCTAGATACTCTCGTGATTAAGATGATAGAAAAATAAAAGAATAGGATAAATGAGGAAGAAGAAGAAGATTAAGATTCTAATTCAGAAGAAGAAGAAGAAGAAGAAGAAGATGGAGTCGTCTATCAGCAAATGACGACGATGTCCTTACCTGTGATATCGTTGACGTTAGAATTGTTGGTATTGGTAAAGCCGTTGTGGATGATACTCGAGCTCGAATTGGTGCTTGATGTACTTTTAGCGGGCGACGTTGTATCATCCCCCCCATTGAGGGGTATTATATTGCTTCGCATGTAATTTTTCGCGTTTAGGGTTGCGGGTGGGGCATCGGGAGGGCCAAACAGGCGATTGTATGAATCATTACCGGGCTTTATGCCGGAGCGTGTTGATGTTGTTGTCTCGGGTCCGTTGTTATCCATCATATTGCCAATTGTTGTGGTGTTGTTGCTAGTCAAATTGGAATTGCTGCTGGAATCTGTAGCGTCGCCGAACAATGCGCTACCAAGTTGTGATTGATTGTGATTTTTCACACGACGTGGACTGGTCTCGTCTTGAGTCGAACCGAAAATATCGCTGCTCCCACCACCAGGTGGTTTCAATACTCTGAAATAATGATCAATTGTTAATACGTGTGTTTTGCAATAGATTACTTTGTACAACAAATAAATATAATTAATGTTATGACATCGTCTAGGGTGGTAGTGGTAGTGGCAGGAACACTATGTTATTTTTTATTTTAGATATCATTTCTAAAACTATATAACATCAGATCATTTTGTGGTAATAATAAACCAAATAAATTAATATTGTTTCCAACGGTAGGTGGTTTAAATACTCTGAAATAATGATCAATTGTTAATACGTGTATTTTGCAATAGATTACTTTGTAAAACAAATAAATATAATTAATGTTATGACATCGTTTGGGGTGGTAGTGATAGTGATAGGCACACCATGTTATTTTTTTTATAGATAATATCATTTCTAAAACTATATACCAGATTATATATATATAACACAACAAGATATATATATATATGATAAAATCAGATCACTTCTTGGTAATAATAAACCAAATAAATCAATATTTAATTTTAAATAGCTACGTGTTGGTGTTAGGCGTTGAATTTATGGGGAAAATATCGATGTGACACACCATATTATTTTTTAGATAATATTTAAAAGATCAGATCAGATATAATAACACAATAAGATATATTAGATAAAATCAGATGACTTTCTTAGTTATTATTAACCCTAGAACTATTAACAGGGGTAGATATCTACCCCAGGTAAACTTAAGTTAATTTAAATCGATTTTTTTACCGATTAAACTTTAATAAAATTGAATTCACTCTTCACCATTCTCTTTGGCATGAAAAAACGAAAAAATTCATATACTTAAAAGTCTGATTATTGCTATAAGAACAGTTTTTAGGACTAAAAAAACCCATGGGGGTAAATATATACCCCAGTTTTGTAGTTTCAGGGTTAAAAAAATAAGTTTGTAGTTCTATGGTTAAGATTAAATAATTACGTTGGTGTTATTATACGCAAAACACTATTAGGTAACTATCGGTGTGACATTATGTTATTTTTTTAGATATATAACACAAAATTATAGATGATTTTTTGATTATTATTAAAATAAAATAACTACATTGGTGACATGTGCAAAACTATCAGGCAAATCCCAGTGGCACCAAATTGATGTCATGAACAAAATTATTAGATAAATCTTGATGACACCATGCTAGGTGTCACGCGCAAAACAATGAAACAAGCGCTGATGACATCCCCCCACTGTGGTGCCACTTAGAAAATATGTTGAAAATATACTAAATACCTAGAAAGTACTATAAAAAAAAAAAAGAAATAATTAAATTACAGATAGAAACATTTAAAAAAACAAAAAAATGATGCGAGTCATTCCTACCAACGTCAAACAATAAAAAAAATCCCGATTCCTAGATAGTAAATTGCGGATTAATGTTTAAAAAAAAAAAACACAATCTAATGTTCAAATAAATAATACTAGAAGAACCAAAAAACCATGGTTTCAGTTTAAATTTAATTAAAGTGAAAATAAAATTGTAGTTTAGGGTTGTTGCGTATATGCATCCCCGTGCTGAGAAGAGAAACAAAGATTAAAGTACCGTTCAATTTAGCAGGTAAATCAATTCTAATTTCCATTTAACGAGCTGCCGAGTCAACGACAATGTTTCTTCCCCTCTTATCCCCTCATAGACCCCCCGTGTGTGCTTGATCGGCACGCGTTTCATTGTGGCACGTGCGAGGAAGCTTAGAAGTATACTTTCCTCTTTTTTTGCTTTATTTATTTGTGTGTGTGTGTGTTTTAAACCAGAGAAAGAAAATGTCTGTGATTCTAGTGTTTTGAAAAAAGAAAAAAAAAAGAAAAGAGGGAGACGCAATTAGAGTGACTGCAATTAGACGATACGAAATAAATTTCTTCGTCTACCCCCCGTTGAAAAACTCAACGATGTGTGTGTATGTGAGAGAAGAGGTTTTTTTAGACTCCCTCGAAGCTTTTCAACGTTTCACGGCCGACCATTGACGAAGACCATTGAAAAGGATTTTAATCAATGAGAAAACAATCCGTCGTCGTCGTCGTTGTCGACCCTTCTTCCTTGCTTCCGCGAATATAGTGTGCAACGTGCACGCTTTTAAACCACCACCCTTCGCTCATTAACGATTCCATTGTGTACTTCATCATTTTCATTGATTGGATTTGCGTTAGAAATTACAACGGTACGTTTATTTCTTGTCCTACGTGAACACTATTGCATATTATAAATTTGTAATACTATTTTTTTGTTTACCACCCTTTGAAAAATGATTTATTCATTAATATATGATATATATATAATTCTAATAATATAAATTTGTATAATAATTTTTGACCACCCTTTGAAAAATGATTCATTCATTAATATATGATATAT